GGTCTGAGGTCAAGTCAGTTGCATCATCACAGCCTTTGATTTTTCTCCTCATCCCTACTACAGATCATCTCAAATAATTCAGTAATGACCAAAAATGCAACATTAACCTTTACTATCTGTTGGAATGCTGTGTTAGATGCTGTAAATATCAAGAAATCCATTTCCTTCTTCCAGAAGTAGTTCAGTGTTGTGCTTGGCTTCCTATGTTTTGAAAGTGTAATTGGAGGCATAGTACTTCAGAATTAACTTGTAAAGCCTTTATGAATATTTGACTGTATATTCTTTTCTCTGCATTGAAGGCAGGTTGACTTAATTGAATGGATTAGGACTTGCTTTTTCATTATCATGGTAACCTTGGGTTTTAGTGTTGCTTTTCTTGAATTTCCTTTTCTGAAGCTTTCTCAATATTTCTCCTAAGCTGTCTTCCTCCAAATTAGATGACAAATGTTTTTGATTTTTTTTTTTTTAAATTAGTTTGAAATAATTGAAGTAGGAAAAAATGTGATGAAAGTGCAGAACTTGAACAGAATTTCTTGAACTTTAGAAATGGTGATAGAGTACTTCAAACACCTATCTAACTTTTGGTTACAGAAAATGCAATCTGCAAGAGAAAAAATGAGTTTCTGTGGACTATTCTGGCTTAGCATTGTTTGGTAATGGTAGACCTGGACAGCTTTGTGCAGTCTCAAAACTAATAAAGCAACAATTGTCATAATACAGCTGATTGTCACAATAATGTCTTCTAAGATTTAATTTCTGCTTTAGTTTACTGTAGTTGCTATAGCTAGTCCTTGCTGTGACAAATATGGGAGGCTCTGACTGGAGCAAAACCACAGCTGTTGTTGGAAACTCTGAATCTCATCAATGATAAACTAATTTTCCTGAGGTGGAAGTTGCATTTTTTTTCAGTTAGAAATGAGAGTGCTGACTCTTACTGGCTAGGGCTTCTTTTATGAATGATGAAATGTGTTATGCGTAGTGAGAAATCTGAGTAGAAATAGGGTTCTTGCTTCTTCCCATACCAGTGCAAAAATCTGCATTTGCTTAAGAAAATTGTGATAAGTATGAGATATTACATGGTGCTTTGTGATGTACAGGGTGTCAAAACATTAAATGATCTGAAGTAGACTGCTGTAGAGGAAAACACTTTGATACTTAAGTGAATATTATATTTAGTTACTAGCCTGGCTGCTTGGTTCTATGTCATTATGTTAGGAATTCATTTTAGCAAGTGACACATCTAAGTATGGACACTTGAGTTTGGCAGTGTAGGGTCAACAAATGTTTTGACCTTAATGAGTCCTTAATGATATGGAATGAAGGCAAAAAATTGGATGAGTAATGCCAAAAATAAGGCTCAACCTAATTTACAAAATGGAGCTGATTTCCTTCATGTTAATTTTTAATTATACTTTAGAAGGGAGGGTGGCATTTCAGTCAGAGGTCTGACAAGCTTGTCATTTGCAAATAAATCAGAAGACAATCATTGCTACAGCAAGAACCACTCAATGATGTAGTTTGGTCATTCTTTGATAGGTCTCACACTCGAGACCTCTGTTAAAAGTGAATGTGTTCAAGAGGTACTGCATTAAGGACACAAACAATTAAGGGCTCTTCAGTTGCTTTGCTAAGAGCTGCTGTTGAGCTAGGAGGGCTTTCATGAGAGATTCAGGTTTCTGCAGTCTGCTTTACCAAAGAGCTGGAGAACATACGCAATTAGACATATTTGTCTCTGCTCCATGCGACTTTCTGCAGAATTTTCTTTGTTTACTCATTCCTTGGTCTGTTCTATGTGACTCAAGATCAGCAATTAGATAATAGGCATGTTATACTGTGAAACCTCTGAAAGAAAGTAACTGATAAGTATTTTTAAACTGTTAAGTGTATGAGCCCTAACTTAAAAAACTATAGCTTGCCTTAGTGTCACCAATTACTTATGTTCTGTCCTGACTGACTCATTCAAAGATGTTTTTTGGGAGTGTGTATCTATCTACGTATGTATAAAAATACACCTATTCAAATTTATTTGGTCTTGGATGCTGAAAGTTCATTTTTAACAACCTGATTTGTATTTAAATGTACGGAATTTTCTTTTTCTCAATGCTGAAAAAAACCTCTTGCAGTTCTTGATAATGAAGATTAAGTGAATTGTGCTGTAATACCTAGTTAAGTAACTCTAATTATAGAACAAAGATATTTTAAAAACATTAGTAAGAGTACTTTCTACTAGTTATTTGATTATTTTTTTTCTTTTTAAAGAAAGAAGTTATAGAGATCTGCTAGTAAATAAATAATTTTTATAATTTTAAGTACTTTAATTGTGTGTGGGAAAGAGTGCCAGTATGCAGACTGCCTTTTAAAAACAAGCAGATTTTAGTTATGAGGTGCAGAATAGAGAATTTTAGTTTTCTTCCAGAGTGAATGCCGATTACCTGGCTCTTGTAGCAGTAGCAGCACATCTTTAAACAAGCACTTGTTTATGATTTGTATGCCTAAATTTACCCACAACTGTGGATGAATAGGAGATGCTTTTATATGTGATGATGCCTTGCTTCAGAAGGTGTTAGGAAGAAATTTTTCCCTTCAGATGGTGTGTGAGGCACTGGAACTGGTTGCCCAGAGAAGCTGTGGATGCCTCATCCCTGAAAGCATTCAAGGCTGGTCTTGTTGGGTTTGTGGTTAATCTGATCTAGTGGTTGGCAACCTTGCCCAAGGCAGGAGCTTGGAACTAGATGATCTCTGATGTTCCTTCCAACACAAGCCATTCTGTGGTTCAGAAAGATGCTTTATTTCAGTGCCACTTTTCAGTTAGTTATTTGTAGTACTGACACAATCAATTTAAAACAAGATTAACTGAGGAAAGGCTGCACCTCTTTCTGGGTTCAACACTAATTTTTCAATAAGCAGACAATCTCTGATTAATATTACAATGCAGAACAGAGGCAAGTGTGTCTCATCCTTTCTGTGTCTTGTGCGTAATTCAGATGAATTATATGCCTTTTTTTCTCTTCCAGGCTTGTTTGATCCTTTTTGATAGGATTATTAGAGAAAAGAAATAATTTCAAAAGTATAACTGTTGTTTCTTGGGACTGGTAACTAGCACGTGATGTTATGTGCTGTTGTGTTAGTGTGTAGTTCTGTATTTACACCGTCACAGTGAAGCTCAGATGCTTGGGAACTTGTGAGAAAATACAATAATGTATATGACTTGCGTGCTTTCTAGGCTGTTATCAAAATAGACTTTTCACAGTGACAATAAGGTTACTTTTCAAAATTATGGAATAGAGAGACTCTTTTGTGTGGGCCATGCAGTCTAAAACAAATTTTTAGGATAAACCAAATTGCTTCTGTAATTTTTATTTTCACACTTAAAACCTGCTGCAGTTCACTTTAGCTTCTGAAAACAAAGCTAATCCTGTTGGTCTAGGGCTAGCTTATTGGAAATGAACCACCTCTCAAACAGTAAGGCTGCTAAGTGGCAGTCTTTTCATTGCTTACTATCTGTGTTCTTTAAGCCTTTTAATAGCAAATTGTCACAGTCATCATACATGTCTTTTTTTCTTTAAGAGAACTTAAGGTACCAACAGATCTGTTGATAGCTTGGACATGCCAATAACTCCTTTATATTATTTTTGGTGATAGTTATCTATTACCAGTGAATGGAATGATTCATAGTTTATGCTCATAGACCAAACAAAACAGAAATGGACCAAAGCTGCTTGTTGTTTAGTCTTGTGTAAGAAGATGGATATTTCTGTTAGAGACCTATTTGCATTGTTGTGGGGGACAGAAGGGGTTGCTGGAAAGTGGCAGTTTGTTCAATGCCCATGCATGAGGAAGCCACTTTACCTAGAAAGAAATGATCTCTAAAGTGTTCAGGAGATCCACGGGGCATGTGGACCTGCCAATAACTGATGTAGGTCAAGTGGAATACTTCAACTTACATCAGAGAGAGGAGTTTTAGAAGTCTGATGGGAAAAGAGGTGTTAAAGCTTGTCTGTTGCACTTAGACCTCAAGTTACATGTTTCTTGAGACACAGAAGCACTGTGGGGCTTTTGTTTTCTAATTACTGATTGTCTGATGTGTAAGCATCAGCACATCTCAGTGTTTTTGTAAGAAATCTGGGGTGATGGGAAGGCTTGGGGCAAAGGCTCAGCAGATAAGTTAGCAATGTTTTCATCTGACTCGCTTGAGTTTCTCTTTGTTCAGGTTTTGGCATGTAATTTGGCCGACAATTCTCAGCAGTGATTTTCTCCGTTTATATCCTAAAACACAACAGAAAAACAAGGAAAACTGTATATATCTTAGTGATAGTAACTAGTTAGAGTGGTTCTGTGCTGCTCTTAGCACAGGGCTGTTCCTACATCGGTTTATTGTTCTCCTGCTACTTGTGGTTTCACTGATTTATTGTTACTGACTACCTTTTTCTTTTCCCCCCGATGTCCTTACTTTAATTCTGTCTTAGTAAGTATGTTTTAGAAGCCTTTGTCTTTCTTACCCACTCTTCATTGGTTCTCTTCTAGTATTTTGTATTCCTGTAGTTTTCTTTCTGTCAGCAAAACTAAGATTGCCTTGTAATTGGCAGAAAAAAATTGATCATGAAAGAAACATTCTTCTTGCATGCCTGTCACCTTCATGTTAGGCTGCTTGGTAATTTGAGTAACAATAAATTTTAGTTTTAAAAGGCCTTATTGTGGACTTAATGTTTTTCAAAAATGCTGTACTTGTTAATTAGCTATATACAAGGATCAGATTTGTGCCTAAATGTGTATACAGATTAGGTGCTTCAGACAGAGCAGATGTCCCAGAGTAGTTAACTATATCTCTGTATTCATTTAGGCTTAAATATTAACTATTAGTATTTGTACTGGCATGAAGACATGGATTGCTATGTTTTTTACTCCACAGTGTTAACCTAATACAATCCTGTACGGTACCTGATATGTGGGAACTAGCAGAAAACACGATTTTAATCAAAATGCTTATTTTTCCTCCATAGACAGAAATCGCCAAGAGATTGAATACAATCTGTGCACAAGTCATCCCATTTTTGTCTCAGGAAGTAAGTAAAACTGTTCAGCTGTTAAAGTGCAATTATGTTGCTTTTCTGTTTGCAAATTAGCTAGTTTTAAGATGTTAATTTTATCACAATGCACAAGTGCAAGGAACATCTGTTATAGCTGAAGTGTGCAAACCCCCTGCTAATTTGGTTTAACAGATCTGAGTTCAAACTACTGACAATGGCTCAGCCTTTTCCATTCCCAGAGGAGAGGGGAAGTATGTGGTGTTTTTTTTTTTTTTTTTTTTTTTTTGTTTTTGTTTTGTTTTGTTTTTTTAAATAATAATAAAAAAAAATCAACAACAATGCAAAAAAAAATGATTTCATTTCTGATTCTGGTGATTACTTATTTGATATTCAGTTGTCAAATGTTCATCCAGTGAAAATACGTATGCTCATTGTCTACATCATTTGTATCAAAATCTAGTGTAAAAACTGAGTAGTTAAATGCAAAATGCTTTTTAAGGTTGCAGACCTGCATCTGTTCTGAATGACTGTGATTGTAGCATATTGTAGTCAACTGCTGCTGCTATGTGTTGAAGGGTGTTATTTTGGGTGTGCCTTTTTAAACTCTACAGTTTACAGAGTATTTGCAGTTCATATTAGGATTCAGTGAAGCATTTATTCTTCACTTTAAGATTTCTGTAGGTTTTGCTGTGTTGACACAGTATATAAATGTTGAAATTACTTCTAGTGTGAAGATGACGTTACTGTCCTGCTAACCCTATTAAACATTAATTTTTTGAAAAATGAATAATCAATTTTGAAGGTGGCACTGGGGGAGAGATGAATTGGCTACAATCAGGGCTGTCATTTGCTTTTGATGGAAAGGATGAGAAATGGAGTACTGTTTCCTTTTTATCTGCATGAGATGTATCTTGCAAATAGCTTCAGCTTCTCCAAAGAAACTGCTTGTTCAGATATTTTTGTTCCTGGTTTTATTTGGTGCACAAATTCCTCCTTATACCCTTTCTTCTTTTAATAGCATCAGCAGCAAGTGGCTCAAGCTGTAGAACGTGCCAAACAAGTGACCATGGCTGAACTGAATGCCATCATCGGGGTACGTGGCCTTCCAGGTCTACCTCCTACAGTGTGTATAACTTGCTTTCATATATTATTTCTTTACTGTTTTTAAAATAAGCCTAATGTTTTGACATCTAACACTGTTTTGATGCTCAGTGTTGCACAAGTATGTTTGATTTTCTTGCACAGATTTTAGTAGGGATAAAGTTAATATTTTGCTTAGATTGCTGTGTGGAACAACTTCTACTGCAAGAAATGCAGTGATTAGGACAGTTGCTTGTTTATTTGTAAGTATTGTATGTCAGTTGAGGTAGTTACCTTTGCCTCATTCATTTAGTCCTTACAGCCTGTACAACTATTCATTCATCTTTCTTTTGCCTTCTTGCGAGTCTTTCATAAATTTTAAATTAGCAAGCTACTGAAAAGAAACTTCACTTGCTTTTGAAGTAGTATTAATTGACTGACGCAGGGCTCTAAAAGCCTTTCACCAAGTTTGTGCTTCTAAATATTCTGAAATAAGTTAATGCTACTTGCTTGTGACTGATTGTCAATCACAAGTCATTTGTTTTGCATTAATGAACTTTCTGAACCATACATTCCTTCCACTGCATGAGTTCATTTCCCCCCCACTAAGTCTAGAATATTTCTCATGTTTTCTGTCCTTCCAGACTAAGTGAAAGAAGTAGCGGAAACAAGAAGCCGTCCTTTCTGATTTTATTCATATGTGTGCGCCTTGAGCAGATTCAAATTACTCATTTATCAATTTATGTTAATTGCTTGTGAGAAGATGCCCTGCTGGTCTTTATGGTTCCCTCAGACACTTTGTAATGATAATTAGACATGCTGCTGTATGGATTAACAGTGCCATAGTCCAGTGACGTCTACAGACAATGGAACCAGTTAATCCATCTGTGCTTAAAATTACATCCCAACTGGAGATGGAAAAAAAAATAAGAGCAAGGGAGGATTAAAAGAATGAGCCTCAGCTTGAAAACTCTCCTTTCATCAGTTTCTCAATTGCAGATCTGCGGTCGGTTTGTCTGTGGTAAGCTATTGGCAGTCAATTAGGTGAAATAAACTGGGAGGGTGACCTTCATTTCCTCTTAATAGCTTTTCCTCCCTGAAATGGGGAGCTTCAGTGGATTTTCAGCTTAAATTTTATTCAAGCTGCTTTATTACACTTGACGGATTAGCTTTGCATAAACATACCCCTACCTTTCAAATCTGAGCTGTTTTTTCACCTTCATATAAAATTTGACTGTTACTTAGTTTGTTTGCTAATCACATTCTAAAAACCGTTGCAATTACATCTGTATTTGTCACAATGTCCTCTGTTCTTTGCTTGTGTAATGAATTACTTTATTTCAAAGATCAAATCAGGTATTCATAGAGCACATGTACATCTGTGATATTTGATTAGCAAAGATTAGAGAACTGTACTTTCTTGCATTTTTTTTTTGAAATGAGTTCTTTACAATGAAAATTGAATTGAAAGCTCTTTTTAATGAGCTACTTTTAAAGAATATTATATGCAGTAAATGGAAGTATGCATTAAAAGCATATTTAAAAACAATTCTACTGAGCTTAAGGTAGTGCTGCCTAGCCGACCAAATCTTATATCTTGATGATGTCATTCACCTCTTCTTAAGTCTGCATGAAATAGTGTTTTTAAAGCAATAGGGATCGTCAAGTACCATACACAATTAATAGGAGTAGAAGCCCCAGCTTTTTCACTTTTAAATAGACTGGGATTCATCAGAGTAAGCACTTCACTGTGTGTTCTGAAAGACTTCTGGGTGATGCCATATCAGCCCAAAACTGAGTAAGGAAATGATCACATTGGGTACGGTGTCTTTGGCTGTGTCTGTGTATGCCTATGTATTTTGCTAAAATTAGTTGTGTGACACAATGATCTTTTATAGCCTTATGTGGTCAGTAATTATCTTGTGCTGCAGAATAAGTTTCATGCTTTTGACATATGCTTGATTTTGTTTAAAAGGGGCCGTGTGCATCCTGAAAAATCCAAATAGCATAAAATTGGGTTGACAATTCAGTGGACCTTTGGTCTCCCTCACTGAGCACGCAGTGTGTCAAGCCCTCTCCCCAGAGGGGAGGAGACATCAGAGGCCTGTCTGTTTCTACACAAGGCAGCTGCGCTGGAAGTAAGCATGGCCTGGTCTGATAGCAGCTGTCAGTATTGTTTAGGGACCTGACTTAGTGTAAAGAACAATGGAAGGGCCATGCTGTTAAAGTGCAATCTCTTTCAAGATGAGAAAAGAAATAGTAGTTTAACGGTTTAGACGTCTATTATGAGCATGAAAGATCATGGAACTTTTTTTTAGAATGCAAATAGGCTGTAGCATTCTGTAACAGAAGAAGATTGCGTGCCCTCTAGGATTATACTACTGAGGATAGTTGTGTATAGTCAATTTTTAGAATAGAAAGAGTGCTGAACTTCTGTAGCTGCTGTCCACTTGGATAATTTCTCCGGACTAGATAAAATTTGCATTTTTGTTGGTGTTTAACTTTTTTCCTTCTTCATTTCTGTCTTAAAAGGTCACTGTTTTCTGGTACGAAGCAATTCAAGAGTTTCCCAGTTAGCTTGCCTAAATTAGAGCAAAAAACAGTTCTTGTTGCTGCTGGGCTCTGTTTGAATTCTAGAAGATAGCAAAGTCTTTAATTAGTGGGAATGTTTTCTTAATTTTTTTTTTTTCAAACCATCTTTATTTTATAAATGTCTTCCTAGTTGAAAAAAAAATGGAATCCTATTAGTGGACAAACTAGGTTAGTGACTGTTTTCCTCATGGACTGGTCAGATTCCTTTTGGAGAATTTGCAAAGTCAGAATTCACATTTTTGAGTCAGTGTATGGATATAGGATGTATGGATTTTTGAGTATGGATATATGTTAAGGATATATCTAAATAAAAAATAGAAACAAAATATTGACACATTAGAAAAAGAGTAATACAGTTGTTCTTGATTAGCTTACGAGTGCTAAACCTCTGGGTTGATTACAACTTGTGGTAATTATATTTTGGTCTAAATGGTTATATCTTTGGCCTTATGCTTTTCCTGCACGTGCTTGAAGGCTTAACTTTCCAGCTAGCTGTATAGCAGTGTAACTTTAAAAAAAAAAAAAAAAAAAAAGACCCAGAAACAAAAACAACAAAAAACCTTGTTTGTTTGTTTGTTTTTTGTAAATCGTGCTGTTTAATATTTGTTGTATTTAAAGTTGAAAAAAGTAGCAGGTATACTAGGTAGTAGAATAACAAGGCAGGGGGGAAGGAGGAAGAAAAATAGTAGCACAACAGCACAACACAAAACCACTTTAGATTCAAGGTACACCTGTAACTACTGTAGTTGCAAGAAGGGTTAAGGGAGAATACAGATCATAATATGGAGGAGTTTATAGGTAATCGTGGTTTAACTCAAAGGGATTTTTTTCACAGATATGATATCCTGGAAAGGTTCATACTGGGAAGGGTAAAAGATGGTTATAATTGATCTGTCTACCTAGATGTAAACAATGCAAATGTTTTAGATTTTTCTGCTTCAAAATTAACTGGAACAATTTCAAAGTAGAATACTATGCAAATATCTGAAATGAGAAATATAAGCAAGAAGCTGGAATATTTTTTATCATTGCATTTTAGATGCACTGTCTTTAAGTTTTGAGGTGGGTTGCTAATGGTTCTGTGAAATGAATACCTTCTGGACTGACAGTACTCTTGAGACTGATTGAGTTATAGGTCTCTTAGAGGTCCCTCCACTGTTGCATGTGGTGATTGGCTAAAGGATTAGCAAGATGCAGGATTATTTTTTCCCCTCTTGGCTGTGGTTGCCAGCTATCTCTGGGATTGTAGTGTGTGAAGCTTAAGAGGATGAGGTTAACCTCTTGAGGGTTTATTCTTATGAGTGTGTAGTTAATCCTTAGAAAGCCTATAAATAACTAGGCTGTATGTTTCATTATAAAATAGAAATACAGACTAGAGCAGAAATGAATGCAGAACTTAGTGCAAGGGAAGAACTAAGCAGCTGTAGCATTACTTTAGATCCTCCTCAGCCATGATTTGCATTATGCCTCAAGGGGAGGGGAAACTGTCTAGTTGCTTTAAATTAAATAAAATGAGATCTTGAGGTTGTATAATGAATGATAGAGGGCTGTAAATTCGACCACTTTGGAGTTGGAGAGAGGAATGAGTGAATGAAGCCTAAAGATTTAAAAAGAACTAAGAATGTAGTTCTTAGGAGAAGGAGAAGCAAATGCTATTGTAATAGGTGAAGTAAGAGGGGAAAAGTTCTGTTCTGGGGAGACTTTGAAGCAAAACAAAACTGAGTGATTGACAGGCAGAGCCAGTATGAGCAGGAAACTGTACACATATATTCTATCTTCAAGAATCTCAGCACTTAAGTATTAAACACCAACTCACTATATTTTTCTTGGAAGAAAGATGCTGACAGTAGAGGTAGGGATCTTGAGGAGGACTGGCTGGAGAAGAAGGGAACGCTTGATTTTGCTCTTGAATGAGGGATTAGCATGGATGGTTAGGATAGCCTTAGGAGCTACTGAAAATGTGGCAAAGTTATGGCTCATTATAGCAGTTTGCTGTATGTCATCAGAATGCTAAAGAGTTTTCAGGATTCCTTATATCTGGTAACTCCATTGATTACTAATTCTTCAGTTATCAGAGCTGCTGTCTTCTATAATGTTTAATTTACTGGGAATGTTCCATACTTTTATTAAAGGTGCTAGTTAATCGTAGCTTTTAAATCAAAAAACATTTAGTAACACTGAGACAGCAAAAGCAAGGGTTAGCAGTAGTAGTGTTTTGAAATGTTTTCTGAGGTGACTGATAGCGGATGTAGGGAATTTCCAGGAAGCTTGTGCATGGGTTGGAAAAGTGAAATGAACATGAATGTGGTAGTCTTATGACTAAGAAACTTTTCTTTGGTGTCTCTGAAACATGTTTGTAGTTGCTAGTATCTGGGACAAACAGGTGATATGTCACTTAAAGAACTATACTGAACTTTGGATTTTAACTTCCAAAAGTAAATTTCTGTTTAG